ATAAGGCTGCCAAGGGAAAATAGGCGCTCTACGGGGGCAGACGAACTTAAGTTTGTATTGTACCTCAAAAAGACGCGTTTCACAGCAGGGTACTCATGCAGCATTGTGATCGAGGTGCGCGTGTCCTGCAAGTAACGGAACACCTCAAAACGTACGCTGAATGCGCTCGACGTCGCGGTCGAGGGAGTGTGACCCGCAAAGTTAAAGAATGCGTCGCTTTCATCGGGTTGTGGCGCACAGTTCCCAGTAGACCCTGTAGACAGATCCTGCGCAGCCTGCACAAGGAGATCGCTGATGTCATGCGAACCATCGCGTGGCATCCAACGGGTCTTAAAATACGGGTGACTACAAGAAGCGATAATGGCTGGCTTGTCACCCAGGCACAACCACCTCTGGAAACGTCTCTCCAGACTGTCCAGGGCAGCCTGTGCGATCTTTTCCGTGTGCGGACTTTGTAAATTTTCCCGAACTTGTTCCAGCTTCGCTCGGACCGTGAACAACACCGGAAGCAACTCGCCGTAGTAACCACTGTTGCTGCTTCCTTGCAGGCGATCAAGCGCTGAAATTAATGAGTGAACTGTGAGTACAATGAACTAGTATGCGCGACATAAAATAAAAGAGGTGAAGGCACGCACGTTATAGACCAATTATTGTCCACGTTATGTATATTACTTTGTGGCATACAAAATTAAAGCAGCGTGCAAGACAGGACGCACTCGTCCTGTGTGGTTCTTTTTTTAGGTCCTTTCTTTTTTGCGCACTGTTTTTAATTTATTAGGTCATGAACCAACTCGCCTGCGTTGCTGCTTTATTTCGCTTTGTGGCAGGCTATTATTCATATCATAAATTTCGAGCTAATTAGGTTGGTGAGCATTACACACTATCTACCTGTAGCAATTGGCTTGAGTATGGTACAATATTCCTCAATAAACTCAATCTCCGAGGACTTCAAGGAGGGTAGCTGGAGCTCGTTCGAGAGGTCTTGTAATTTCTCCTTGTTCTGGGTGAGGACGTCCAAGGCGTGGTGCAGAGAGTTCCAGCGAGTGATGCAAGGGGCTGGTAGTTGCTTGCCAAGGATAGATGTAACGACTTCCGCTGATTTTGGCCGACCCGAGGCGCCCCAGTATTTCGAGCACTTACTCATGACGCTGGAATGGAGGCGGTTCAAAGCATGGTTCGCACTGATAGCTTTCTTGACGTCCGCCGTTGCGATTAAACTGAGCGTGTGACAGGCGCACCGCAGGTGCTGTGACAAAAGCGGGCCTGGGGGCTCGATCTCCTCAAACGTGACGAGCTCAAAGTCCTCGGAATCTGTTAAAAAAAAAATCCAGGCACAATATAGTTTGGTTGTAAAAGGTCTAAACTCTCAACTCTTAGAGCTTGCCTATACCTGCAGCACACGCTTCTTCGAAGGCCGTTACGCCAAATTCCTTGAATGCCTTCACAAAATTTGTTGCGTTATCCGTGACCGTGCCAGTAATCTTTCCTGTAGGCAGGCAGTAGTCTGTGCAAACGTCCGAGAGCAACTCGGCGACTCTGTCGTAGGAGTGGGTGCCAGCAAATCTCCTACAGGCAAGTGCGGCGGATTGTCGTTCTAGTGTCGCTTCCGATATCTGCAACCAAATCCGGTCGAAGAGGCTATAATAATGCGGTATAAAAATTATTTTACAGAACACAGGCCAGGTGGCCGCATATTTAAGAAAAAGTATGACAAGATAAATAGTAAATACCCAGTGGGCCGTCACACCCAGGTAGCTCTTAGTTGACGTTGACCACACATCGGCCGTAAGACACACGTACAGCGGTATTTTAAGTGCCGCCCTAACTCTTTCGAGATGGGCATCGTAGTCAGAGTCGACTCTGCGACCCAGAGTTTTTCTCGACATGACATTTATGGTTGCTGGGCAAGTACCTAAAAGGAAGTATAAAAATATGCCAAACAAAACAAAACTAAAATTCGATGACATAATCAGTCTACAATAACTGAAATATGCCAAACAAAACTAAAATACGATGACATAATCACTCTACAATAACTAAAATACACAAGCCAAGCTGAAGGCCATAAAAACGCACCTTTGACGAAGGCCACAAACTCTGGCTGCTCGACGAAGGTCAAAGGAAGCATCCCTTTCACAATCAGATCCGTCAATAAACTGTCGAACTTGGTCTGCGTGACCACGGGAGCACTTGGGACAGTCGCAAGCACGAGCCTCGTTTGCTTGAGAGCTGGTTCTGGGCCAGCGGTGCATTGTCTCTTTTTTTGGTTCGGATCACGCCGCACGTGCTCATCGTACTCGACAAGAACGAGAGGATGAATACGCTAGGCCAAATAAACAGAATTATAATAATGATAAGGTAAAAACAGTGACCCAAAATAAAAAGCTCAAGATCTAAATGAAAATTAGGATACCTTTAAATGTGTCCTAAAGTTGGAAGTTGCCGACCGTGACCCTGAAATAGTCTTTTGGCATGACTGGCAGATGGCCTTTACGTGCTTGTCTTCTTCCGCAATGACCTTTAAAAATTTTCCATCAAGGATATTCGGATTTTTCGCCTCTGACGACGTTGACGATGAATCAGCCATGCCCTGTCCCTGTATGTGTAGAAAAAGGCCTTTTGTGTATAAAACTAACATGGGGCGGTCTTTCAAAGACGACAGAACGTCATGTGATATCGCTTTTACTTCTGCTGACGAACTGTCAGTCCGGTATTAACACCGAGAACGAACACAAGCGTCGCCACTTTTTCCAGCTGATTGGACGATGTTCTTTTCTCATGTCACGGCAAAGGTGCTATCGCAAAAGGACGGGGTCCATATCACATGAGCGAATGACATTTTAGTGAACAGCGACATTTGAGCGAACCGACGTTTTAGCGAATAACGGGGGCGCGCGTTAACCCATCCGCCGCGCTGCGCTTTACGCCGCTTTGTGGCGACAGTCTGCGGCGGCTCATTACAAAAATGTGAACCCACTTGTCCCACCCGTAAACGCCGCTTCGCGGCGGCCGACTGTTCGCTAAAGTGTCATTCGGTGAAACGTGGGCGTTCGCTAAAACGTCATTCGATCAAGTGAGTGCCTCCCCCGCGGGGTCGACTTTGTTTCACGTTCAGTCAGAGCGCATCGAACCCTGCGGGCCATCCCAGCCAACCCAGCGCCGGCAGAGTATCACGTGACCTTACGGTTGGGACGAGCGACACGCGGAGCTCAAGGCCTCTTCACGCGCTCTCAACGCTGGATTGGGTGGGATGGCGCGTAGTTCCGCTGCGCTCCGACCAAAACGCAGTATTCGCCTCAAGATCGAACCGTCACGCGCACGGTGCCTCAATTTGCACTCAATTGGAGCACAGTGAAGGCTACAGACGCGTGGTCGAAGCTCAAAAAGGCGCTAATTTAGCGTCTAGCTAAACGCAGCGTCTCAAGCCAAGATCTCGCGTCTCTAGCGTTGCTTGTGGTTCACGTTGAAAGCGGGGACGGTTGTGGTCATCTGCTCTGCGTTCACGAGAGAATGCCCATAGGAAACCATGTATAAACAAAAGCACATGTCCCCGCTTTAGAAACTGGACCTCGAGGCGAATAGCGCGGGTTGACTAAAAAGAAAAACAAAAACGAAATCTATAGACGGACGCCGCGAAACGCTGTCAAAAGAAGCAATGTATTAATCAGCAACCTCTTTTTTTTTCTCTTCTTCTTCTTTTTTTGCGAAATCAGCTCTGTCTTTTCACCCAAACCACGCTGTCAACCAGGGAGATGATAACGGCATTTCACTTGCGTCGACGGGCTGCCCCCCCGTGCGGTCCACATGGACTGGCCGTCACACCAGCTCTAGTTCTTTAGCAACTCACCAAGCAAGCGCTCCTCGAAGAAGAAAGAGAAAGAAAGAAAAAAAAAACAAAAAAAAACGCAGGCTTGCGTGATGTTGTTAAGTACTTTCACGACAGCACATCAGTTTGGCTCACATACATCAATTTTGCTCACAAGATATTAAGATTGCGGAAATAAAACTAAATGAAATTAAACACAAACCAAAAAGTCGTTTCGAAGTTATCAGCAGCCAATCCGCAATCGTGCAAACGGTCAGTACGGGAACATTTTTTTTACTGCGGCGTATCTTACTGAGGCGTAGAGGCCGGCAACCTGTCAGAGGGAAGGGGTAACTACTAGGACTTGGGTTTCTAAGAAGGCCACGCGTTCCAGCTGTACGAATCTTTGCGAAATGTCTACACTTCGAAAAAGCAATGAATTCACGAGTTAGAATATTCGCAACCCCAACTATGTGCTCTTTTAAACTCGCTCCTCTGTTTCAAGTTTCGTTCCCTAGGCTGCGCCAGCTTTCGCTGCGCATTCCAATCGCCGCGAGCTCTTCGTTTCAACGCGTCATGTATCGACCACTAGATAGCGGCGACTTCTTTGGATTTGCGAATAGGAAACCAACCACTAAGCGCCATCAACCACTTAGCGCCGCTCTGAAAACTTACCCTTCCGTCGAGCTCCCGCGAAGAAAAGCGTGCACTGTGACAAGCGCCCCACTCATCCGAACGAATCTCGTGGCAGGAGGCACTAGCACTAACACTGTTGCATGTCAGAAAACGTGGAAGTCCTTTGCAAAATCAACAAATAAAGAAAAGAAAAAAGCCCCCTCACCATTTCTAGACACCCTGGACTTCCAAGCCCCTAGCCTCCATGGCTTCGGTCATCGAGAACGTTGTATTGTGCTATTTGCTTTTCGTGTGCTCTATCGGCTCTGTGCGCGCGCGCGCGTGTGTGTGTGTAGAAAAAAGAGCGGGAGGGGGGGAAGGGGGGAGAGGGGGAGGGAGCAAGGAGTCTGTTTCTGCAAGGATGGCTCGTCTCCGGATCCCTTTTGCACGAGGCGTTCGATTCCGATCTCCCTGACAGTGCACAGACGGCGCCCTCAGGTCGGGGTCCCGGGCAGGCGTGCAGCAGCAGCAGGCTGGCAGTTTCAACAGTTTCAACCACTGTGGTTTCAACGTCTCAACTATGGCTATGCTTGCCCGCCGTGCCCGGGCGCCCGCGGTGAGCTGCGAGCGAGACGAGAAACAGGACTGGTGTATGAAAAGATAAAGAGTTTCTTGGTTTGTTGTTGCCGTTGACGTTGAGATGAAGACAGAGCAGCTTAGGACACGTCTTAGGATGAGCAAAACGAGTCGTAACAATGAATTTGAGAAATGTATTTTCGCGCACAAAATTGTATTTAATTACAATTGTATTTCAAATACCCGCGTTTTAGTATTTAAATACACACGTCAAATACATTACCCGATTTGTAATTAAATACAAATGCAAAATACACAAAGTATTTGAAATACGTATTTCAAATACTTGTATTTGAAATACTGCCCATCCCTGGTTGAAACGCTGGCGCAAGAGGCTGGAGACACGCTCTTCCCCCAGCCAGCGGCGACCAGCACCCCACCAGCTGTGGGGGACCCATACGAAAGGGTCAAGATCAACGAGAAAGACCCCATGAACCAACCTTTCATCAGAGGAGAAATGGAGGACGCTCTGCACCACGGGAAACCAAACGGCGCTCCATGTCCGGACGGAATAACCACCGCCATGCTCCGAAACCTTCCCGAAGCCACAAAAACTCGGCTTCTTGAAGACATTAACGAAGTGTGGCGCACTAGCAACATTCCAGACCAGTGAAACTCTCCACTGTTATTCCAATTCCTAAGCCCGGCAAGAAGCCGACCACCTTAGCCACCTTCCGTCCAATCTCTCTCACCTCCTGCGTCTGCAAGCTGGTGGAGAGAATGCTACTCGGCCGCCTCTCCTGGTATCTGGAGCGGACGAAAGCCTTTCATCCGACGCAGACAGGGTTCAGAACTGGCCTGGGCACGCAGGAAAGCCTTATCCTACTCTCCAAAGATCTTATTCCAAAGCCCATTCCACAGAAATTTAAAATCAGAACAGTCGTCGCGATCGATGTCAAAAAAGCCTTCGACAGCGTCCCGCACTGGGCAATTGTCCAAGAAGCGCGCGCCCTCGGCATTGAAGGCCGCGCCCTAAATTTCATCAAGTCTTTCCTCGAGACTCGCACCTTCGCGGTCCGGATCGGCAAACACCTTGGCAGCGCCAAAACCGAACAAAGTAGGAGTTCCACAAGGGTCAGTTCTGTCCCCACTCCTCTTCAATTTGGCCATGGCGCGTCTCCCCGGTCGACTGCAACAGGTATCCAACCTCCACTTCACCATCTATGCGGACGACGTTTCCCTCTGGACAGTGCGCGGCGACGTTCCGCAACAACAGCGCATCCTTCAACGGGGGATCGACGTCGTGACAGGTCACCTCCAAAGCGTAAGCTTAACCGCCTCGCCGGATAAGCCAACCTACGTAGTCATAGCCCCCAGACGGGAAAGGGACGCGAACATCAGCTCAACCCTTCACTTGACTCTCGCGGGCCAACCGATCAGATCAGCACCTGAGGTACGCATCCTAGGACTCCAATTCCACGAGGATGGCACCGCAAAGGCTTGGCTAACAATGGTCACCCAACAGTGCCAGGCAGCACTAAACGTCATTAGAAGGATCAGCGGCACCAGAGGAGGCGCTGACGAGGAAGTTGCCCGCCGCATGGTGAAAACCCTCATCGTCTCCCGCATCTGCTACGGTGCCCCCCACTACCGACTTACCAACACACAATGGAAGAAACTGGAAATCCTTACCAACAACGCAGCTCGAATTGTCACTGGCCTCCCCCGATATACACCGCTAGACAAGCTCAAGGCACACGCGAAGCTCAACACGGCTCGAGAAACCGTAGAGGAGAGAGCACGAGCTCATCTAGAGCGACTCCAACACTCAGCCTCCGGACGACAAATCCTAGAGATGATCGGCTCAGATATCAGAGACCTTCCCCCTCTCCCGGAGGTTGACCCCCCATGGAGCGACGATGTGTGCCTCGTTGACGATCGACCAGTACCAAGGGGAGCCGGGCCCAGTCGCCCTGGCAAGCAAGCTTGCCAAGTGCGACAGCACTGCAAACTCGTCCAAGAGTGGACGGACACCAATGAGAAGCTCGCAGTATACACTGATGCGGCCTTCGTCTCCTTCCCTAAACCGATTTGGTCCGCTGCGGTTGTGATTCCCCGCCTAGGAATCACCATGGCCGAAACATTGCCCGGCGGCACATCGGTCAAGGGCGGAGAACTTGGAGCTATCCAACTGGCACTGCGCACCGTCATCGAGAAGGAAATCCGACCGACACACCTACAGATTTTCACTGACTCTTCGGCTGCATTAATAGAATGTCGCTCTCGCCACTCCCCGAACAAGCGAGTTAAGGCAATCCGAAGGATGACCTCCGACTTAATTGCAGCCGGTACAACCATCAAAGTGTCCTGGATACCTGCCCACGCAGACATTCAGGACAACGTACAAGCTCACTGCATGGCCCGCGCGCATCTGGATTCCCCCCGCGAGCCGAGTAGTGTGCCAAGTCACCTACAAGAACACGGGTACTCGCCCCCGCCTGAGGTTAACGACGATGGCGAAGACCCAGACTACGACCCTGAGGAGGCAAAACAGCTCGTTAAAGAATCCTCAAGACAGACCCTGAGGGCAGCCCTGACCCCCTGCGTAAATCCGCTCCCGAGCGGAATGGGCAGGGGATCAACGGTGCTGCTCCGGAGGATAATCACAAACACCACATGCACACCGGCACGCAGGACGCATTGGACCAAGCCACCTACATCACCCCATTGCAGCTTCTGTCAAGACCCCAGCCTTCTTGCCGACCAAAGCCACTTACTCTGGGACTGTCCGGAGCTGGAAGAGATTCGCCGAAAACACATACCACCAGACGTATCCAGCATGGAGGAATGGGTCCATCCTCAGGGCCCTCCCGACAAACGTCGGGCAGTTATGACCACGCTCGTGGATTTCATCCACGATGCGGGGCTCACCGCCTATCTATAACCCCCCTCAACCCCTTCCCTTGGCCATAGATCCAGGCTTGTAAGCCACCGATCTCAGCCCCATTCTCCCTCCCCCAAAGGCCAATAAACGCTTTCTGAACTGAACTGAACAACTTGGGCTTCATATCTGAAGGTTCCTCTTTTTCTTTCTTTCACAATACATAAGTTGGGAGTCAGCGCCCCTTCCTGTGTTTTGTTATCCTCCTACTGTGCTTGTGCGCTGTTTTAGGTATGTCTGAAGTACCAGCTAGCTCAACTCTCTATGCTACTACGAGAACAAGCGTCAAATTAGAGCGCTACGCATTGGATTGTTTCGGCTGCACCTGAAGCGGGATGGCCGAACGAGTCGAGGCCGATCCAAGGCCAGAAGAAAATGGCGGAAGAGAAGGCTCCCGCGCACGTTCGCTTCTCGATCGACGATGACATTCATGTGCTACGCGAAGTGTACGCCACTAACCCATTCGAGGATTCCAAGAGATGGACTTCAATTGCCGAAAGGGTTTCCGTCTCCGAAGCAATCGGAAGAATTACTCCACGCGGGCCATCCGCGACCGGGTTGACCTGCTGCTGGCAGAGTTTAAAGGGAAGCTACGGAGCTTCTTGGAAAAAATGAGTTAGAAGTGAATTCTAGTGTATTTTTACCCCGTGAACCCGAATACCCAAACCATTTGCTGCGTAAGTATTGTTAAACGCGAGAAAAACGCGAAAGACAGTCGCTGTCCGTGACGTCATCGACGGCTCTTTTGGCTGCCCAAGGCTAGAAGGGCGGGGCTTCAGCCCTATTTTGAAATTGCTCTTGTGGCTCTCCGGCGCGTCGCATTGAAATATAATTTTGATATCTGTTATTCTAAAGGCCAAATGAACGCATTTCAAGCGTTTTTTCTCAAATGTAGAAGTGCCCCATCTTCCCTTTAATACGAAGCACATATTTCCCGGTGACTTCTCGTAACGTAACGTAAAAAAAAGAAAAAAAAAGAAAAAGAAAGAGGGGTTTGTGTGACCGAGTTTTTAGCCACGCAGTAGCAATACGTTACGATGTCAACAGTTACGACGCATGTTTAGGCTTAGGAACGGCCAGAATTAGGTACGATCTTGAAAACCGGGCGAGCCCACCGCTCATTCTTTGTGACTTGAGCGAGATAAACCAAAGCGAAAGCCGGCTGCACTATTCATTGGCAATGAAATTGGCTAATACTGCAGCGACCATGACGAATTTGCTCCGAAGCGAGCGGAAAGGGCGCCGCCATGTTTGCTGACCGAACCCGGCCCCAAGCAATTGGGGGCCCCACGCTATTGGTTGAATTTCACGTTGGGGGCACACGCCAACCCAAAACACCAAACGGAGTTTGGGTTCTGCGCATGCGCAGTGATGGGCCCCTTTTTCTTTGGGGCCCCAAAGCTTTGGGACCCTCTATTATAAAACTCTCTATAACTGTCGTGCTGCATCAGCTACAGGATGGGCTAAAAGCAAGCTACACCAACCAGCGTCGTGCCTGTGAACGGGGAATGGGCCGTCGAGTTCGCAGATAATTCTATTGGCGCAGATGATAGCCTGGTATTTGAGGGCGTGCACTCTCTTGTGACCAGAGAAGTAAATTCTGATTCAGAGATGGTTGGCAGATGGGTCTTGCTGTGCCGTTCCAACTGGTGTTTCCCTCCCTATGATTTGAACCGCAAGCCTCGATAAAGTGTCGTTTCAGCGCAAATTAATGTTTTGCGTTTTAATTATTTTTTACTGTCAAGAAGTTCGTTCGTTGTCCACAATGGCGCTGCATGCGAAAAAGGCGAGCGTGCTGCGTTGCGTCGTTACAAACCCTATTCTATAAGCAGGCTGCGTGAGGCGTCGGTGCGTTGGGTACCCCAAAGCGTTGGGTTCCCCAAAGCGTTGGGGCCCCCTATTCTAAAACTCTCTAATGCTGTCTCGATTGTCCAAAGGCAGGCGGTGAATACAGTGAACTTTCTCGTTGCAAGATCGTCGTTTGTAGAAGTTATTGGTGACGACAAAACGTTTCACAACTTTCTGAAGAAGTTATTTGAGGCCAAAATCTTCCTTTCAGAAGAGAGAAAGAGAAAGAATAAGGGGGGGGGGGGGTGATGCTAGTGAAGGAGGGGGAGATTCCTACCCCGAATTTGTTATTATACCGCCCTGAAATGTCTGGGATATAGGAGGATATGCTCTGGGGCTGGCGTGATCGCCTCCCCACCCTCCTTCGACGCCACTGATGGGCCCCCTCCCCCCCTTTCTCATTCGACGCCCCTGTTTAGAGGCTTTCCAAATAAGCGATGGCGAGGAACAGAGCAGCGTGCTATTTTAAAAATAAAAGTTCTGGGGGTAATGGAATTATAATAGTTAGCGTTTCATAAACTCACGTGTGGCCATGACAGACTTTCAAGCGAGAGGCTCGTGCTAGGGCACGTAGTATGCAGGCGCGTTCAGTGAAATACTTTTGTAGTTCCTACGCTTGACGCCAGAGTCAGGATTATCAGTTGTGAACTACAAATTCGATGGTTCGTGGTCTAATCAAGGGTGACAAGTTTGATTGCGTACGATGGAAGCTAGTCATCTCGGCTCCTCAAGTCGGCCAGGAAGAAGGTCCTGGCACTGTGCCTCACCTCCCATCCCAGAAGATCCACTGTAGGGGGGAAGGGGGGGGGGGGGGGTTGCAAGCCAAGGCTTGAGGAGACGGCGTGTTGGGAGGGCACCATCAGAGCTACGGGAGTGGGTCGCTTAGTCCTTAGCCATCCGGAGTGGGATATGTAGGTTACCTAAAAACCGAGCTCGCGTGACTGCGGGACGGGTAAGGGGAAAGTCCCGGCCATCCTTTTCCTTTCTTTCCGGTGCCTCAACCCCCCCCCCCCCAAACACACCCACCCACCCACCCACCCACACACACACACACACACAAATACGCACGCACGCACGCACGCACGCGCACGCACACACACACATCCCTATCTTCCAGCTTTAGCTACAAGCGTGGATACCCGCGGACAGACGACGTTCAAATAAACTGCTGTTGTGAATTAAGAAAATGTGCTCGTTTGTGTTTCTCGTCCGTTGTCTGTTTATTCTTTCGTGTTGTTGTAATATTGACAACCTGACGTTACTCTCATTTCCGTTGATGAAAGCAGAATGAATCCCTGTTTCGCTAATCTCGGTGAGCCGACCACACCGACGTTCTCGGTGGCCTAAAACAGGGAACACATGAGCGACAAAAACGGGCACCGCGCGCCGATTCCCATAGCAACAGCCCAGGACACTCTGATGTCGACCTATGCCAAGCCGCCATGTCACAGCATGTGCGCAAGTTGCCACGGAAATTGCCGCGCGGCGCCCGTTTTTGTCGCTCATGTGTTCCTTGCATTAGAGGCGGAAAGTCACTACATATAAAAAAATAATTAAGTAAAACGATTGAATTCCGCCGACGGGGGAACAACTGCCTGTAGGCGAAAGCTGCCGGAAAGCGGACAATGCTACTTGGCTGGTTCTGACCAAGCCACGTCGGGTTAAGGCTGTTTCACATACTGCGATTCTCGTCCGAAATCGGTGCGATTTCTAGTAAATGTGCGAGTAAAATCGCAGTCGCACTGTCGCAGCAGATCTGCGACTGCTTTCCACCAAGCTGGTAATTTTTCGCTAAGTCGGTGCGATCACTTCATCGTCAACCAGTCGTTCATTCCACCAGCTTTCATTCGCGATAGTTGCGTATTTGAAAATAAATTTAGACACCTTAAAACTATTGGTTTCGTGCTTATTAAACATTTCTAGTTACAGATTGTATTCGTAAAACATCTGTGTTCATTAAAACGTTTTTGTTGTATTTTAGGCAAAGTCAAGCGCTCCGCGTCCGTGTCCGAACATCCGGCCGCGCCGACAGAAATCGCGAGGTCGTTGGAGCATGCGAAACCAAACATTGCGATCGCACTCGCTGCGTCGGCTGTCGCACCGATTTTTTTCGCAACCGTCGCTCCATGTGAAACAGGCTTTACAAAAAACAAAACAAATTAGTCGTTAGTTGTTTATACAGCAGGAGCTTAGTCTGCCAGAACATTGCGACATTGTTACCCACGGTAGATGAGCAATTTAGCCAGTGCGGTACAACAGCTAGCCTGGGGTCTTTAACGTGCACCACGCAGTAGTAGACAGTTTTAGTGGATCGTACGCTATAGCTTTGCGTACGCAAGGAGATTGCGGGTCGTGTGTGCGCATGCGCAGAACGCAATAGAAGGGCTAGCGTATTGCGTACGCACGCAACGCTGGGGATTTTGCGTTGCTGGCTAGCGGGCCTTGCGCGACGCTCTCGAGAGATCTCGGACCCAACGAGAGCGCCAGTTTCAAGATGGCGGTTGCCTCGACTGGCGCAGCAAGGGTGACGTGGTGTTTTCGAAGTTCTGTGTTACGTGAAATTACGTGGTGTTCAGCTCGGGGATTCTTTCTGGGACCTACCGCGGTCGAATCAGATCGCCCTGCAGCTGAAGGAGTGCACAGTGGAAATGTTCGCCGCTCGCAGTGTGCGTCGACGCTGCGATCTGCTAAACGCTAAGCCTATTCCCACAGTT